CCTTTAAACAGCTTATTTTCAATACACACTTGGCGTCTAGCAAGGTCTATATGGTTTTTATTCTCTAAAGTCTCGTTTGATATAACACCTTATACGGCTTTTATTATTTCTCAATATACCCTTAAAGCAATTATTTGCCGTTCTTTCTAGCCTTTGAACTGAATATGTATTATTTTTATTATCATTTAAAGGACCACTATAGTGCCAGGAAAACATACTCGTTTTCCTGGCACTATAGTGCCCTGAGGGTGCCCCCACCCTCAGGGACCCCCTTCCGCCCGGCTCTGGAAAGGTGAAAGGGGTTAAAACTTACCTTTTTCCAGCGTTGGGCGGGGAGCTCCCCTCCTCCGATCCTCCTTCTCTCCTCCCCGTCGGCTGAATGCGCACGCGCGGCAAGAGTTGCGCGCGCATTCAGCCGGTCACATAGGAAAGCATTCATAAAGCATTCATAATGCTTTCCTATGGACGCTGGCGTGCTCTCACTGTGATTTTCACAGTGAGAAGCATGCAAGCACCTCTAGCGGCTGTCAATGAGACAGCCGCTAGAGGAAATAGGGGAAGGCTTAACCCATTCATAAACATAGCAGTTTCTCTGAAACTGCTATGTTTATGAAAAAATGGGTTAACCCTAGCTGGACCTGGCACCCAGACCACTTCATTAACCTGAAGTGGTCTGGGTGCCTAGAGTGGTCCTTTAACCTTGCATCCTTATACTCCTTTCTGGATGAATGTTGTTACTGTGCTAATCTGCTTTGATGTTTTGTTACCTTTTTGTTAAAAACATACTTACTTTAGCTTTGAGCCTTAATTGCAACATGTATCTACTCTTTAGAGTTTTTTTTTGTTTTTTTTTTGCCATTAGTGTATACTGAGTGAATAGGGTGACCACTCCCACCTCCTCTGATTGGTTCAATATGCAGGGGAGGTCACCTGTCACTCTTTCACAACCTGTGGTCTTTTGATTGGAGGGCTTTAATTGAAGGGTGTGTCTATATCCCCTTTATAACTGCTTCCCGTGTCACTTACCAGGTAGCTCTTGACAAAGGCGTATCTAAAACGCCGAAATGCGCGTCAAGATATTTTCTAGCCGATGCTATTATACTCAATTGATTTTCTTTACTCTCATCTTTCATTTACCTGGGTTTCCACAGCGCATGTGTTTGCGCCTATATTTTCTCCTGATACAGACTTAGGGATTTGGATAGGCTGCCACGAAGCAGCAGTTCCTTTTTCCATTTCTTTTAGGATAGTTCGTTTTTTAGGGTGAATCGGGGGGGGGGGTGGGGGGGTTCTATCTTTCCTCTCTTTGTGGGGTATTAGCTCCTTTTCTTTTTAGTATAAGCTACTTGATATTAGTTTGGGCAGGACCCATTAGTTGCTATTAACCCTGCCCTTTCCAGATTCTCTCAGACACTGCTCTAAGACTATCCTTTTTCTATCCAATTACCCAGTTGGGTCCTTTCCTAGAATGGATTTAGACTAACCTGCTTTGTTACCCATTTACTATTTTAGGTGTATTTTTACACCTTTATTAAGTCAAACATACCTTGCAGGATTAGACTCTCCCAGGCTTTTATAAGTGTGGTGGTTAACTTAGCCGATGCTATTATACTCAATTGATTTTCTTTTCTTGATTTTACTCTCATCTTTCATTTACCTGGGTTTCCACAGCGCATGAGTTTGCGCCTATATTTTCTCATGATACAGACTTAGGGATTTGGATAGGCTGTCATGAAGCAGCAGTTAGTTTTGCTGTTTCTCTTAGGATAGTTAGTTTTTTTAGGGTGACTCAAGGGGGGGGGGAGGGTTCTATCTTTCCTCTCTTTATGGGGTATAAGCTCCTTTTCTCTTTAGTATAAGCTACTCGATATTAGTTTGGGCGCGCCCAATAGCTGCTATTAACCCTGCCCTTTCTAGATTCTCTCAGACACTGCTCTAAGACTATCCTTTTTCTATCCAATTATCCAGTTGGGTCCTTTCCTAGAATGGATTTAGACTAACCTGCTCTGTTACCCATTTATTATTTTAGGTGTATTTTTACACCTTTAAGTCAAACATACCTTGCAGGATTAGCCTCTCCCAGGCTTTTATAAGTTTGGTGGTTAACTTATAATCAATACACTATTTTAGTGTATGGTAATAGTATTTGGACTATATACCATTTTAGCATTTTTTTCTAATAAAGGTTGTTTATCCTCTTCTATGTGACTATTTACATTATGAGGTACTTTGAATGAGGCAAGGCATTCCACCCACCTTTTTGTGAGTGGACTGTCTGCCCCATTTTTCGTCTTTTTTTTCTAAGGTTAAAAATATGCCTTTTGAAACATCTTGGGTTGTCTTTTTTAAGAAATGGTATGCCTTTGTGGGTTATTATCGTGAAAAAAAGAGAAAGTGAGTGCCCTTAAAATATAACTTTTAATAGTAATTCTAAAATTAGTCTGAATATCCTAAATGGAAATTAGATTCAAAAATGTAATGATAAACTAAAGTATATACATTCTAATAAACACAGGTATGATGATTAACCAACGCATTCCTATTCACTGGTTAATAGCTTGTCAATAGGAAAATATGTAAGGAGATCCTGTGGATCTCTAATAGAGTACAGGGCAATATGTAGAGATACCCTGTGGACCTCTTAATAGACAAGTACAGGGCTAAATAAATGGTGTTACCAAATATTTGGAAACCCTGACTGGCTATATCTACAACGATCGTTTAGTAGTCCACAATGGCTAGTGATAGTTACTAGCCACAGAAAAAGGTGTATATGGTAATACACCAAAGTAAAATAGTAGATGTATAATTTGATACACAAAAAAAGTAAATAAATGATAAACTGAAGTATGTACAATTCGGTAAACTAATCAGTAAGTACAATCAAGTACAATCAAGTAAAAAGTCCTGAACTCTATAGATTGCACATGGGCGTGCGCACCAGTGGCGGATCTAGAGCCTGATCTCGGGAGGGGCACTTGTAGATTATTTAAAGAAATAATCCAGACACAATAACTACTACAGCTCAGTGTAGTGGTTATGGTGTCAATAGTGCCGGGACCCCCTCCTAGATTAAGTAGTCAAACCGTTTAAGAACAGTTTGACAACTTACCTGAGGTCTGCTGGGAAATGGGGCGGTAGTAGGGCATAGGAACAGTGGTGTGTGTGAGTGGTGCAATGTGTAAGGGGTGCAGTGTGTGTGTGTGTGAGGGGGACAGTGTGTGAGCAGTGTGTGTGTGTGTGTGTGTGAAGGTTGTAGTGTGTGAGTAGGGGGGGCAGTGTATGTCAGGGATGCAGTGTATGCGTGGGACAGTATGTGTGTGTAACAGTTGCAGTGTGTGTGTGAATGTGGGCAATGTGTGTGTATGGGGCGGCAGTGTATGGGGGCAGTGTGTGTGTATGGGGGCAGTGTGTGTGTATGGGGGGCAGTATGTGTGTATGAGGGCAGTATGTGTGTATGAGGGCAGTATGTGTGCATGGGGAGGCAGTATGTGTGCATGGAGGGCAGTATGTGTGCATGGGGGCAGTATGTGTGTATGGGGGGCAGTATGTGGCCATGGGGGCAGTATGTGTGGGAGACGGTATGTGTGTGTATGGGGGGCAGTATGTGTGTGTGTATGGGGCAGCATGTGTGTATGGGGGCAGCATGGGGGCAGTATGTGTGTGTATGGGGCAGCATGTGTATGGGAGGGAGCAGTATGTGTATGGGGGCAGTATATGTGTATGGGGGCAGTATGTGTGCAGTATGTGTGTATGGGGGGCAGTATGTGTGTATGGGGGCAGCATGGGGGGCAGTATGTGTGTGTGTGTATGGGGGGCAGCATGGGGGCAGTATGTGTATGGGGGGCAGTATGTGTGTATGGGGGGCAGCATGGAGACAGTATGTGTGTAGGTGGTATGTGTATGGGGGGCAGGTAATATGTGTGTATGGGGGGCAGCATGGGGTAGTATGTGAGTATGGGGGACAGCATGGGGCAGTATGTGTGTATGGGGGCAGCATGTGTGCATGGGGGGCATTATGGGGGGGCTATGTGTGTGTGTGTGTTAAGGGTAGGGGGGGCTTTTTTAAATAATATATATCTTTATTTAATTTAAAAAAAAACAAATATTCTATGTCCCCCCTCCCTTCTTACCTTTATGGAGGAGGAGGGGGGACAT